TGCCAGATTGAGGCCCCTTCAGATTGTGGTGCGGGAGGGAATGAGACAGGGGCTGCCCAGCCGGGGTGGAGAGGGGAAGAACATGGGATGGAGCTGTGGCTTGTCCGGGGGACAAGGGAGGTGCAGCTCCCACTGCTGCACACACCCCGGGAGGCATGGGGGGCGTGTGCCCCAGATCTGTGTGGGGTGGGGCAGCTGCTGCTGTGGGCTGGGACTAGGGCTGCTCAGGGCTCTTCCTGGCAGGGGCTGGGCTGAGCTGGGCTACAGGTGGGGCGGCACTGGGAGGGGGCTACGGGGAGGGCTGCAGCCACCCCAAAATTGACCATAGCCCTCCCTACCTCACCCCCAGCACCACCACTGCCCACCCTGAGTGCAACCCAGCTCAGCCCCTGTCAGGAAAAGCCCTGCACAGCCCCGGCTCCAGCCCACCCCACACAGATCCAGGGGCACATGCCCCACCAAAACGAGCTACTCACAGATCCATCCCACACTCCATCCCAGTTGTGCAGCCCCAGCCCCACTCCCTCCCTCACTGAGGGGGGCTTTGATCTGCTCCCTCCACCCCCGTTCCCTTCTACCACACCAGACTTACCAGCTGCACGCAGCTCTCCAAGCTGCTGGGCTGTGCTCCTCCCTGCCTATGAGATGCGTTGCAGTTGTGCACATGTATAAGGCATTTACTTGCCACATTATAGGTTGCATCAGGCTGATTTCCGATACAGTCGATTTTCTTTATATTGGTGCCAATCTGATATTGGACCGATGCACCTCTAGAAACTGTTAAAAGTCAAACCTACTTTACGTTAAAGGATTTTGATGTACTAATTTCTTCAGATTTACATTGTGAAATATGATCATTATAAATCCTTGAAACCAGTATTTTGGAACTCTGTATATCTACTTCCCCCAACACTCCTTACCCTCTTAATAGCCTTTAAGAGGCAATATTAATTCTGCTATTTCCTGACTTTGAACTTTCAATAATTATCTTTTTAATGTAGGGAATTTCAATGCAACTTCTTAGAGATTATTTTTTGAAAGGAAACTGAAAAGAAACAAAGAAAGTAAATCCCAAACCTAGCACACTGATACTTGCAGTCATTATCAAAGTTGAAGCCTTTGGATACACTGCATACATCTGAACTGAACTAACAGAATAAAAGATAGCAATAATAGGTTGTCATTCTTTCTTGTAGTTTTAGCACTAGATGGAGGTGAAATACTGTCAGGGATTTCAAAGGTATTTTTCCTTATACTTACACTGCCAGTAGGAACTTTTTCTTTCTTCACTGGGAATGCTTTCTTTTGATCCAAGAAAGAACTGGAAATAACAATGTTAAATAAATATTACACATCATCTAAATCAAGAAAAAGTATACACAATGATCTTCAACAAAAGCACGGATAATGATAATGTGAATTCATTTTCCAAGCAATTCATAATTATTGTTAAAATATCCGGGTGGCCAGGCACTGGACCTAGAATATAGTGCTTTAAGTGTACAAACATACAATTATAGACATTAGGGCTGCAAGGGACCTCGGAAGATCATCGAGTCCAGCCCCCTGCTGAAGGGCAGGAAGTCAGCTGGGGTCATAGATCCCAGCAAGATAAGCATCCAATTTACTCTTGAAGGTGTTCAATGTAGGTGCTTGAACCACCTCCAATGGCAGGCTATTCCAGGCCTGGGGGGCTTGGACAGTAAAGAAATTCTTCCTTATGTCCAGCCTGAAACGGTCTTGCAGTAGTTTATAACCGTTCGACCTCGTCATCCCTTAGGGCGCTCTGGTGAACAAACGTTCCCCCAGATACTGGTGGTCACCCCTGATAAACTTATAGGTGGCCATCAGATCACCCCTGAGCCTGCACTTTTCCTGGCTAAAGAGCCCCATGGCTCTCAGTCTGTTGTCGTAAGGTCCGTTTTCCTGACCTCTGATCATGCGTGTGGCTCTCCTCTGCACTCTCTCAAGCTTCTCCACATCCTTTTTGAATTGCGGAGCCCAAAACAGGATGCAGTACTTCAGCTGCGGCCTCACCAAGGCCGAGTACAAGGGGAGAATAACGTCCCAATTAAGTGTGTCTGTATTACTCCGTTTAGCTAGAGAGCAGCATGGATTCCAAAGATTTCAGGAAAAAAGCCTAGATGCTTGTGTGTAGGAGAGCCAAGATGATGCAAGAAGTCTGCCTCCTAGCTCACCCAAAATCTAGCACAATATGTCCCCTCAGTGCACAAGCTGGGGGCAGATCTAGCATCACCTCAGTCATCCTCCTCAGATTGGATCCTGGCTAGGTATGAATTGCTTTCAGTACTTGCCTATCATTAGGTCCCAGGAATTCATTTTGTGGCAGAGTATAGCTTTTCTGACTGCCTCCTTTTAAAGAATATGCTGTAATGGAAAAAAAAAATGAAGAGCCACAGTCAATCAGCTGCGATCAGTTACAGAAATTAAGAAGCCAGACACACCAGACACAAAAAGGAAACCATACAGATATGGTAGATGGGGCTGCTCTGTAATGCATGAATGCACTGGTTTAAGCTAGGGGTGCACCGATAGATAATTTTTGGGCTGATACCGATGGCTGATTTTTATTTTTTTTATTTTTTTTAAACGAGCCACACTGGCCGATACAAATCTAATTGCTGTTATGCATCCAGGCAGTTAGGAGAGCAGAGTCTGGCTGGTAAGTCTGTTGGAGGCAAGGGGCGAGGGAAGGGGTGTGGGGTGGGGCAGATCAAGACCTCCCTCACTCCAAGTGAGGGAAGGAGTGGGGCTGGTGCTGGGGCAGGGACTGCACAGCTGGGGCTGAGTGCGGGAAGGCGCCATGAGCAGCTTGTCTGGGGGGTGTGGGGAAGGGGTGGGGGCTCCCGCCACTGCACGCACCCCAGGAGGGTATGGGGGGGGGTGGTGTGCCCTAGATCTGCACATGGGGCAAGGGCAGGTTAACTGCAGGCTGGGAGCAGGGTATGGGGCGGGGCAGGCTGTGCTTGGGACAGGTGGTGCTGGGAGGGAGGCATGGGGGGTGCTAGAGCCACCCCAAAATTCATCGTAGCTCTCCCAACCCCCCTCCCAGTGCCACCACTGCCTGCCCCAAATGCAGCCCGGACCAACCCCCTGCTGGAAAGAGCCCAGCGCTGGACCCAGCCCGGGCCCAGCCTGGACCCAGCCCGCAGAGGCAGCTTGCCCTTGTTCTGCATGCAGATTCAGGGGCACGCTCCCCCTGTGCCCTCCCAAGGTGGTTCTATTACTTTAAGGAGAACGTGGCAGACCAAACTTGCTGTGTGGGGCCAACAGCTGAGCAAAAGCCAGCTGTTAGAAAGAAAGCAGGCAAGAGATAGCAAGGGCAGGAGTTACCACTTGGGGAGGGACTGTCCTGGAGCTAGTTGCCTAGAGGCAGACCTCCAAGCAGCACAGAAGTAAGAACTGCACACAGCTGAGCTAAGCTGCAGGAGAGAAGGACAGAATGGTCATCAGGCCAAAAGGGAAACCTCCATGTATGGCTAGAGACCCACCTGACGGGAAGCGGTGGGGCTTTGGGGCACATAAACCTGAGAGCTAGTGGGCAATGTGGCCCAGGAGGGTTGCAATGAGAGGAGATGGTCCCAATAATATCTCGTGTACAGTTTAACCAGGTCCTAATAGGTGAGATGGCTGCAGGAGATGGACTGCCTGGCACCCAAGCTATCCTGCAAAACTGCAGGGCAAGAGCTGAAGGGGACTTATGGCATCCAGCTCGGGTGGTCCCAAGGGGCACCACAGCCTCAAAGGGAATCACTGGGCCCCCGTGCAGCTCGTGCAAGCAGGCTGGTAGGCTCCGGGGGGGTGGGGCTTAGTTTTACCTGGCTCAGCCAATGTCTATATAGATCATACACTTCAGTGGGAATTTTTGGTGCTTTTATCTAAAACTGGTTGAATGAGCTTTAGATAAAAGCACCAAAAAGCCCCACTGATGCGCCCGATCTATACAGATGCTGGGAGCTGGGTCAAACTTCCTCTTCGAGTAAATTTTTGTTTGTTTCTTTGTTCTCCCCCCCTCCCCCCCAAGTCTGTCAGCAGCCTCTATGTCCAATCCTCTACTCTGCTCCCTGGAATAGTTTTTTAAGGGGAGTCCAAATTGGCAAAAACAGGAGAACAAGGACAAGCAGATTTAGAAGGAGAAACTCTCTTAAGCAGGAAGAAGACACTGACCTCTCCATTGAGCCTGCAGCTTATACTTATGTTGGAGTCAATACTATTCCCACACTTTTAGTTTCCCATGTTAGGCTATTATAAATAAGAACAGAGTAAACAAATACAGCTTTTTTTTGTTTCTTTCCTGTTTTTGGTTAATCTCTATCACAGCTCTGTTAAAGTAAACCTCTGCTTTCTGTGTAGATCAAAGGTGCTTTCAGCACAAATGTTACGCATTTCTTTGTATCTATTAACACCAGACACTTCTACTACATGCTACAAATGAACATGGAGAGAGTTTTGCATACTATGGGTTATGTTTATATTACAGTCCCATAGTATAAATTAAGTGCTTTTTAATTATCTCTAGTTAGAATTGTATAAATGTCCTCTGACTTTTAATAAGTTCTCTTAGAATTCAGAACATTATTCCTTTCTCTTTTGAACTTAGTATCTTTCATTAGGCAAATGTTGGTTTTCCTCCACACCACACATCACTACCACAGAGGCCTTGATAAACAACACCAAAAGCACTAACTGACAAAGATCATCCTGCACTACAGAAAGACACAAATTCTTCCCTTGGATTTCAGGCAACATCCCTCTAAAGTGAAAATTACTTCTTTTGTGTATTTATAAGGGGATAAAAAGATAGTCTTGGCTGGAAATTTCCTGTTCCATACTCTACTGTGACAAAGAGCTAAGGGTGGAAACAGACGTCTCCTGACACCTCATCTGTGCCACCATAACAAAAATTTATGGTGAACAAATGCAGAGCAAAGCAATGCTGATACCCTTTGTTATGTCACTGAAAGGGAAAACAGTGGTTCAAAAAGGTGGTAATACTCTGCAGCTTCATTGTGTTGGACGTTTACTACATCTGTGGTGAAAGAGTACAAGCAGCAAGAGCGGCTTGTGCTCTCCCACCGCTCCAGGCAGGTGCTCTGGAGGCTTGAGGGGTCGTCAAGCCCTGCAAGCACTTGCC